ACCTGCTTAATCGATTTAAGATAAAATTATCACCATTATAAATTAAGTCCTTAAGTAACCGAGATAAAAAAAAGTCCCTTAAAATTAAAGGATAACACTTCCATTAAAACAAGAATTTAGTTTCACTTAAATAAGCGTTGTAAACATATTAAAATGGAAGCAATACTCAACTTAAAAAAAAGGAGGTTCTGAATTCGTTCATATATTATCGAATCTAATTACAATGCCAATATCAATTTCATACACATCCTCACACAATAGCAATAACAAACAGTCGATTTACATAATATTCCATAATATTTTTTATATATACAACAATAAGTTAAATTATTGTACCATTAATATCAATATCTTGTTCTCATCTCGACAATCTATCAATGCTCGTATATCTTTTCTTCCAGTCTGTGATATAGCCGGAGCTAATTGGCTAATAGATTTATTTTCAATTGTGAACTTTTAATGAACACGGATAGTATTCAATGACCCTATTTTATGAATATCCAACATATAAACATTGATATCTTTAATAAATACAATTCGTAATACTGTTTGTTATAAATCTTTTGTGTATAGAATAGCAACATAAAAACAGAATTCATACAATTATCTTAAAAGCTGACATCGGTCCATCAGCAATTAAAACACTTACGTCCAAGCCTTCGATACATATCAGGCTAAATTAGACAAAAAAGTAAAGATTCACAATGCTCTAATTGACTACCACACCGGAGATAAAAACGAACAAGTAGCATCAGTAAAAGACAGAGTAAATAGAACAAAAACTAAACAAGATACGGAATTATATACTCCAATAGCGGCTCGGGGCGGGGCGGAGGTGTACGAAGACGAAAAGAGTCCTATTGTGCTGTTAGCAATTACCATTAACAGATAAAAGAAAAACTCCTATACTCCAAAAACAAAGAAAATAACATTAGTTCAACATAGAAGATTTATTTGTTAGTATAGACCATTCAGTTTCTATCAGGACATAACATGGTATCGTACCTCAGATCCTTAAAGTATCTGATGTACGAATGCATTCGCTCATAATTATCAGAGCTCTTTCATCCGCCGCAAGGAGTTTATGACCGCCGCGGCTGTGTAAACGTCATATACAACAGTAATTAATGAACATTACCCAATACAAATAATTAATCGAACAGAAAACTTACCATTGATGGATCGATGCTATAGATAACTGTTCGAAATAAGCCTGATTTAATACTCCTTGTTTTAAATAAACTAAGATTATATAAATGATAAATTACAACGAAAATAGCACAAAATTAAACGTTAAATCAGTGTTAAATTCTTATAATATAATAAATACAAGTTCGAACATTTCAAACATCTGATAAAAAAGGAACATGTAACAAAAAAGTATTGGCATACATTTAAATTATTACAGATCTCGCTTAAACACAAAAAGATCTCGGAGAACTAAACAACAATGAAATATACATATCTATACAGGAAAACTTAATTCTTAACAAAACATCAGTTTAAAAATACATAACCGATACTAACAAATACCAATCCGCTTATCTAAATCTAATATTTTTTGTGTAAAACTAAAATGTATAAATTAAATTACAAAAATCTTATCAAAGCCGTCCAAGCTATAACATACCTTAATCTCTTCATTTAGAGTTCTAATTCGGATGAATCAAAGCTCAGTGACGTAGTCAATAACAAATATTATGATTCATCTCATTTATTATACTCAGAAACGTTATGAGTATCTATTTTAATTCAATTAGATACATCTACCATAAACGTTCAGTACTAAGAAACATATATTGTATTCTTGTATTTCTTTTCGTAAACTCATTTCCCTTTGTTGTCTTCGCCATCAATATCTTTGATTACTTTTACATGTTTTATTATGTATATGCGCGCACAGATTCCTGATATGCCTCTCCGTCTCAAGTGGAAACCATTTTTGTTTTATTAATGTCAATTGAATTAAGTCTGTGTTGTAATTGCTTTGAATTTTAAATAAGCTAACCCCGTAGCATTCCTTTCTTTTGATTAATTTTACTTTTCTTTTCTTTTCATTTCTTTATCTCAATTGTTTTGTGAATTTTTCTGACATAGCAATTATTATTGTGTATGAGAGATCTTTGAATATTACATTCATTAATAAACTTAAAGTAGATAGTTTGTCAATAGGCCAGATCTTGGTACGTACGTATACCTATTGCCCCGCCTCATAGCCTCTTTCATAGCACTATGAAATTTACTGTAACATCCCACCAATGTACCGAGACCCTTCATTTCTATACCCGATCTTAATAAACCAATCAATACAATGTATCAAATAACATCAGTCGTATGTGGCGAAAGACGTGATGATTCGGCAGTTGGCTTTTAATAAATTATATCTTAAGTTAAAGTAATAAGGTTCAAAATGGTTTTGGAGGAGCAGCAATGTAATTGGTTGTGGGCTGGTGCGTATAACCGCATTTACATTTTAGAGATACTTGCAGGGAATAAATGTCAATTGAGATGGAATACCGAGCGCGGATGCGAAGAATTGATGATGCAGTAATTTAGCTCTTTGATAATAATCAGATTCTAGATGGGCGAGGGGATATAAACGTGCTCTTATTAGAACCGTAATAGTTATTATGATACGATGACTTTGAACAAGGAATATAACAAAATAAAACGTTTGAAAGATTTAGAGAACAGAGCAAATCAAATGATTTTAATCCAAGCCACAAAAAAGTTTCCCAGATTAAGTTTTGATTTAGTTCAACGTGTTTAATACATTTGACATTTAAATATTTCTTATTCGCCAAATGTCAGTAACGGCTTATAGATTTAGTATCACATTTTTCTAATTGAACATCGTATTGCCGTGGGAAATGCTATTAATTGTAACTCGATATAAGTCTTAATAGTTATTAAATGTATTGTGATGCAAGAGACCAAAACTTGATTTCTCAGATTAAACAGAAGCTGCGCTGACACAAAAAATGTTTTATGATTTATCTGTATGGAAGTAGGTTCGGTATATCCATCAAGTATTATCACAGAGCCGATCGCAAACTCTTATATCGAAATTTCTGATTAGGCAATCGTGCATAAACTTTTCTATATGCTCTCGTATGTGTGAGCTATTTATTTTAATCGTTTGTGCATATGACGTTATCTATGAAGAACATAATAGTGTTTGTTGTAATGTATAGCAATGTTAATAAAAACCCGTCTTTATTCTACATAATGACCGAAAGACCAGTTCGGTTCGGTCAGACAAATCATTTGTAACTATCAATCGGTTATTGATTGAAGCATTGTATTAAAATTTGTATTGGAAAGGAACCGGTAGCGTTTAGTGTATTGATTAAAGTTGGAGACACACCCGGTGTTTGGGAAAGGACGGCGGAGAAGTTCGATCACAACCTATGGTTCCGGAGAGTGAATTCAAAAACCCATTATATCGAACGTTATGAGGACCCATTGTCTCGGTTGAATGAACCGGCACAATATCTTAGGAAATTTTTCTAAAAAACTCTTTAGTATAAATGTTTATTATGGCCAACATTATCTGATGCGGTATAGCATTCACCATTGTCTTTTTTGTTTTCTCCATAAGTTCATTTTTATATCTTGGCAGCCGTCAAATGGGATGATGTGAATTTACATTTGGTAAAATTAGATGTTCATAACGCCGGAATTGGTTTAGATGGTGGAGTTTTTTGTAACGGTTGATGGATTCCGTTTATAATGGACCCGTGATTTTGTTTTGTGTTCTTACGTGCGTGATTCAATTTAACTATTGTTGAGTTTTCCACAATTTGTCTGTTGCTTCGTTATTTCTGTGTATCTTTTATTTGCTGTTGAATACATTGACCGTTCCGTATATAATTAATATCCCATCAAATACCAGCGGGTCCGAAACAAAGAGCCATTGTTCGTTATTAATATTTCACCCGCTATCATTCTAATCAAATCCACGAATTAAAGGCAATAAATACGTTTCACACACGTATCGACGTAACAATACACATTTATATATCGTTTTCGCACAATCACTTACAAAATCGTGAGCTATTAACGTTTGAAACAAGAGACTCGAGAGCAAGTGATCTCTCCCTCATTTATAATAACCTGCTCTCACTAGACGCTCGTCTATTATTACAACGTTGAGTGTTCATGCACGTCTTATGTAACTCACCAAATTATCAGGCAGTATGTTAACATCCATTGTGTTGTGAGCGCTAATCTACATAAGTATAGGTATTAATTCATCTTACAAAACTGTTCCGTAAAAAAATACGAAGAGGTGGCGTTTCGACACAACCCGTACAAGCTTCAATTGTACCAACACAGAATTGAATTATTTGTACGATAAAATATAACGCAACGCAACCGATTGACACTATGGTTATGTCAGATTACATTACACATTAAACAATAGTTAAAAAAAAATAACAGCTATCAAAATCCACATAAAAAGTCACAACTGGTTTACAAATGTATGAACATAGTTTAAATCGATAAAGCAATAAAAGTATTAACAGATATATATATTATTAACTGATACAATCTGCCGACATTCTCAAAAGATTTGATTTACAAAAACACTTTTGTGATGTAACGTATGTAGAGGATTCAACGATCACTCACAATGGCATAGCCCAGAGTGACTCGGAGAAAACATTGATTAATTACCATAATAATTTATTTGATACTCAAAAACTGGATGCGGGGAGGGGCCGGTCCAACGAGCTAGTCTCACATACATTTGAACTAAAAACATTCGACTATTTAATAACGAAAACAGCGGCGATTTGAATAATAGTGACTTGGGAGTTATTAAATATTTTCTACACGATGAAAACACAGCATTGTACGTTTGAATATGATGCATCGAGGTGATTTGGCTGTTCCGAACAAAGGAATAAGTTCGAAGAAAAATAAATTAATATACATATTGTTATGTTATTAGAATATCGGTGGTTTTTGTTAACAATGATATATTTTTTGTTAAGGATTGCTGTCAGCATTGAATCATTTGGATCAAGCTCGCAAGAACTCCATGCAAACTACAGTGGATTACTCCAGATACGTCAAAAGGTAAAGATAATCTTTATGAATGGAAAAGATGAAGATAATGTATTGCTTAACAGAATTGTTTTTATTCACAGGTACAGTTCAACACTAGAGTGTGGTTCATCATATTGTAAAGATTTGGGATATAGAGAACATTTTCATTGCATGGATTGCACTGCGAGGGTCTTCTGCAAAAAGGAAGAAATGATAAGACATTTCAAGGTAATTATAACTTCATTTATCAAACACCTCAAAAACAAAATATATGCGTTTATTGGTCAATCAAAAAACTGTACTGCTTGTTAAATTTTAGATATTAATACCATTACGCTGTATTTCCTACAGTTTAGTACTATATTATCAGTAGAACTTTTACTACCAAAGTAGATATTTCTACAAAATCTGATGGAGCTATTAACAAAATACATAATTATTTATTATTCCAGTGGCACAAAAAACGAGACGAATCCCTAGCGCATGGTTTTATGAGATATTCTCCCCTCGACGACTGTTCAGAAAGATTCAGTGACTGTCCTCATAATAGAAGTCAAACACACTACCACTGCATACAAGATGGCTGTGATAAGGTATTATTAATATTAAAATAATATAGAAACATATTTTGGTCGAATAAACTTAAACTATGTGCATATTATATGATATGCAAAATTCTGTTCTTAAGACTATTGCAAGCATGAAATTCCACAAACATTTTATGTCCTATCGATCTCAGTCAAAAAACATCATCATATGAATTCTCATTCCAATATACAAATCTATAATTAAGATTCAATATATAACTAATGTAATCATTTTCCAGGTGTACATATCAACATCGGATGTCCAGATGCATGCCAACTATCACCGCAAGGACTCTGCCATACTTCAGGAAGGCTTCCAAAGGTTTCGCGCCACTGAGAGTTGTTCGGCTCCACACTGTATGTTCGCCGGACAAAGGACCACACACTTCCATTGTAGAAGACCTGGATGCACCTATACGTTTAAGAACAAAGCTGATATGGGTATGACGCATATTAATAAAATTATATATATATGTATATATAACTAGCTTTCCGCCCGCGTGGAGTTCGGTTATATCGCGTTTCCAAGGGAACCTTTTAAAAGTCTGGGATTAAAACTATCCTATGTTCTTTCTCATGGTCAACTCTATCTCTGTACCAAATTTCATTAAAATCAGCGAACTTCGTGTCGCCCTATCAAGAAATATCTGTTACGTTTTTTATTTATATTTTTGTAGTTTACCTCTTAAAGCCATAAATCTCCGTGTTCTGAAGTGCGACAAAATGATTGACATATTAGTTAGTGGTCAAATATCAATGTCAAAAAAAAAACGTTTGTATCAACAACTACTAATAAATAAAATATTAATTAAAAAAACATTCTCCTGTGGACAAAATTGTGACCATTTAAACCATTCCCAGATTCTCGTTGTCTAAACCATTCCCAGATTCTCTTGAACACATACAAAAAATTTCATCAAAATCGGTCCTGTCGTTTGAGAGAAGTTCAGTGACATACACACTCACAGAAGAATTATATGTATAAAGATAGTAGGGATTTATTAAGATATCATCTAAAACTATAATTATCAACCATTTCCAGAGAAACACAAGACTTACCATATTAAAGACGAGGCGTTATCAAAGGACGGTTTCAAGAAGTATATGAAGAGTGAAGCCTGTCCGTATAGAGATTGCAGGTTTAGTAGAACCTGCAATCACATACACTGCATCAGACCACACTGCAACTACGTGTTGCACTCCAGCAGCCAGATCTTCACGCACAAACGGAAACACGAGAGGAAAGAACAGGAAATGAGCTTTGGGTAAGAAAAAAACATTTGATAGTCCATAATAACAATTTTTTTTTTGCAAGCAATAGAATATTGAGACATCTTAACGAACATCTTATATATAAAATTCTCGTGTCCCGGTGTTAGACAGAGATTTCCTCCGAAACGACTGGACCGATTTTGATGAAATTTTGTGAGCATATTGATTAGGTCTGAGAATCGGCCAACATCCTTTTTTCATACACCTAAATTATAAGGGTTGTTCACCCTTATTTTTTATTTTCGCAAGAAATTTTTTGTTTGTATTTCTTTATAATGTAGTATCAAAAATACATGCAACCCAAAATTTTTATACGGAAAAAAGTTTGCCGGGTCAGCTAGTATATATTATGTAATATTTTATAATAAATTTCCATTTTCAACCAGGTTGCCAACGTCTGTGATCCAAAATGCTTTAATGCAAGGAGATCTGTCTTATACCATGCATGATGACGACATATCTGTTGAGGATTACACCCAAGCTTATGTGAGTACTTAAATTCAAGTATTAAAAGTATATCCAAATATTTTCAGTACTTATTTATGTGTAAGATATTTTCTCAGTTAAACTTATTCAACAGTTAGTGAACTGATTATTTTATATATTCACCCTTATATAGAATGCTTCCTATTAAGTTTTATACTTGTAATCTTAGACTGGGATTATAAGATATGGTTCAAAATATAATACATATATTTACATGTTTATCATGACGCTTGGGTAAAAAATTATAACACATTTATCTTCACAAGGGCGATAAAACATATCGTTTTTTTTTGTTCCTTATTGACATTTATTCAGATTTTAGTACTTAATTGATTTCGAACGATTGTTTTTACCACTTCAGAACCAGCCCTTAGTGGATGAAGTAGCGCGCAAATACATTGAAACTTTCAACGGCGCTAAGGAAGCAGAAGATAAATGCAGTAAATGTAGCGCATTTAACAAACACTACCACTGTTTGGCTGAAGACTGCAAGATGGCGCATAGGTAATCATAAAAAAATATTTAGTCTTAATACATATTGACGAATTATGTATATAGATAGATAGAATATACCTTATTGTACACCACAAACAGTAAATTTTACACGGAAAAAAAATTGAAATGAACAAAAAGGCGGTCTTATCGCTATGTATATTTTTATACTCATTAATAATAAATTTTCAGTTGTCACAATACAATGATAAAGCACGTCATGGAACACGAACAACAGAACCAAGTTACGGAAGCTTACTTCGTGACGTATACGAGGAATAATCCTTGCTCCAATTCCGCATGCCAGCATATCAAAGATATCACTCATTATCACTGTATTTGGGAGAACTGTGGAGCTGTCATACTATCTTCAGAGGAACATCCCTTCAGACGTTTAGAACATCATCGCCAACACGCCAATCTAAGTCCCATGTCGCCAAACTTGGCGGCTAGATTTGCACCAAACTTCACTCCACAACTATCGGCCCAATTACACCCAAACATGGCGGCCCAGTTAGGCCAGGTGTCAAATCTGCCAAATCTTCCACCAAATTTGGCGCAATTGGCCCAAATGGCACCAAGTCTGACGTCACAATTGACGCCGAATTTACAAGCTCAATTGAATCTCGGACCAAATCCTACGATTGCACCACAACAAGTGAACCCATCGAGTTCTTTGGACGAAATGTTTAGCAGAAAGAGGGGAAGACCTCCGAAGAATCGTGTTGTAGAGGTCTGGACAGATAATGTAAGTAAAACCATGATAAATAAAATAATTAACATAGAATGATACATCAACTTATATATATATTCTATCTATAGGTAACTCCTCAAGCCATATTCACGTCATTCAAACTGCCGAAGAGCAATCAATTGCCACCTCTCGTACAATCACCAATTATCGCTACAGTCGAAGAATTTCCAGTAAGTTTAACAAATTACGCGTTATAGTATAAATTTATATATCAATAATATAAATAAAACAATTTATTTTCTTACAGAGAATCAGATTCCAACATTTCGAAGTGTTCACAACACCTGATTCGTGCAGTCAGTATTATGCGAATTGTACATTAAGATCTACGAGGTTACATTTCCATTGCTTCAACTGTAGCTTCACGGGCGAAACACACGTGACAATGGAAACACACATGAGGGAATCACATTCAATAGCCCCACTATTAGAAGGCTTCGATTATTTCTCCTCTTTCGACCAATGCGGTGGAAAAAGCTGTTTCAAAAACCAATTAAGATCGCACTTCCATTGCGCCCAAGGAAATAATTGCCCGGCAATTTTAACTCAATACTCAGCATTGGCCACCCATAAGCACGGCAGAGGCACTCCTGTAATTAAAAGTGAATCAGAACAAGAAAAATCTTATGAAGAAGCCAAAGATTATTCTATCAAAGAACGTGCTTCAGCTGACAGCGTCGCTTCTATGAAAGAACAATCTGAATCATTTACACCCACAAATTTCTCTATTAAAAGCGAATTCGATAGAGAGCAGGACAATATTTCGGGTAAGTATTTTTCCTTGGATTATATTCGAACAATCTAAATTTTGGTATAAAATTTTTAATTATAATCATATAATCTGCAATCAAACTATTAATTTCAGTAGTAAAAGCGACAGGTACTTTCTACCCGTCATCTCATCTTAGAAACTCATCTCCTTCGCCAAGAAGTATCTACGACGCCTCCCCGTCTAAAGATATTAAGTACGAAAAGAAATTCGAGCCAAAATTAACAGGGCCGACAATACCGCCGTCTTGTCACGATCAAAACTGCCCGCTGAACAAAAACGCTGGGTCAATGAACTTGCATTACCACTGCCCACATTGCAGCCAAGCTTATGTGGATTTGAAGCTGTTATTCAGTCATATGGTCAAAAAACATAGCAACGCCATCGAACCGGGGCCAGTCGGATTGGCTGCTACAAAGGTATATAATCGAAAAACTAATATATAACATAAATTTACTCAAAACTCTTATTAATATTATCAAAATTTGGTTTAAGGAAACGCTGGAGAGAGAGTACCCAGAAATTTCAATTCTACCGTCAACAGCGACATCTTCAAACGCCCAGACGCCACAACAGGGTCATCGACCTCCGAATCCTGCTGAACAGGTGATTATTTTAGACTTACTCAAAAGAAACAAAAAAAACATATATACAAAGGAAAGTAGTGTTAGTTACACAGTTTATAACACAAAACAGCTGTACAGATTTGACTGAAAATTTAATGAGAGATAGCTCAGAAATAGGAAAAAGAAATAGGACCCTTTCGATCTGATTGACAAAAAAAACTTAATCAAATCCAAAATCTGTACATAACTAAAGCAGACGAATTCGCTGGCAAAAAGTGGTTTTTATTAAATATATATTATGCATCAGAATTTGCTTCTACCTTCAACACGTATTTAATTTCCAGGTGCAAGCTGTTCAATCCCTACTGCTGCAACAGTACTTAGGCTCAGGTCGTAAGTCGCTGCAGGATCAGTTGAAGATGCAGCAGTACTCATCACTGGCAGGCCTGCCAGGATTAGCTCAAGTAGCGTTATTCTCTCAAGGGTAAATAGAAAGATTTTAAATTATGAGCATAGATAGTTTCTGCAACTTTCTTTTTAATAGAAGTCTAAATATAATAATAGGGTGGTAATATTTTATGATAAAAACATCTGTTTTTCGGATTTTAGGGTCATATTTTGATGGAAATTTAAAAAAAAATGTTTATCGGTGTAGGGTGTTAGAAATAAATACTTACTTTGACTTAGTTATTGAGAGGAGAGCACATAATAAAAAACTTCGGGCATAGAAACAACTTATAAACTGAATACAATCCTTATTTATGAAACTAATGAAAACATAAATAATACGGAGTACTTGCAGGAATGAATTAGATTATAAATCTGTAACATTATTTGTATCTTTGGCTCTGCTATTTTTCATTTAACTAATCCGTTAAATACCTTATCTCCACTCCGCGACAGGCTATAATACGATATAAAATAGACGAATATATAAAACGATTTACTAAATATCAATTTAATTACAATTGTAATATGAAATTGTATTTGTCGAGAGTTCAAAACACATTAACTATTAAGAAACGTTTAAACTAATAACTCATCTGCCCGTGATCACGGCTGCTGAAAAATAACCAAAACATCGGTAGTATGTAGTCTAAAATATTAAAAAACGCGTAGTAATCGGAAAATATTGTTTTATTTAAACATTTTAGCTGTTATTTCATACAAATCTGTAATGAATGTTGTTTTTCCTTCCAGTGGTTCCGCATTCCCGATGTATCCGACCATGTTGTATCCGCCCGAGCTGCTTCTAGAACAGAGTCTTCTACAAAACCACGGACTACCGCCAGGATTGGACAAAGAAGCAGAAATGATTGCTAAATCGTGAGTTAATAAAACCATCCATTTATAACATTATCAAATAATTATTATGAAATATAAAAAAAATGTATTTATATGCTAAATATTATCATTTATAAAAAGTATTCTGATACAACAACATAATATTAAATGAATTTTTAGATACTCTCATTAGTATATGTATATAAGTCAGTGGTGGCCTAGTGGTTAAAAGGCCCGCCTCTCTTGCATGAGGGCGCGGGTTCGATCCTGGCCCTGGCAAGTATCAATGTGATTTTTCCGAGTTATATGTACTTTCTAAGAGTAATTAGACATCACTGATTAATGAATTCCCAAAGAGGGTTGATGTCAGGCAGGCGGCCGGTCGAAAAAACAATTAGCCAAAACTATTCACAATATGTATGGCAGACCCTCGCTAAAGATGGGAAATTGCTAAATAGAAAAAGAAGAATTAATATATCGTCTAAGTATGATGTAAATATAATGTGTATGTTCCCAGCAGGCGCAGTACTGGAGCCAGAGGACCTCATATGAGGGTTTTAAAAGATGAACCCATACCGGATGGATACTTGCGCTTCCGGTTCAATGAGGATTGCGCGTATCAGCAATGTGGATATAGGTATTTGAAGTTCAAAGTTATTTGATGATATCCCTTTTTTATGACAAAGGTTTCAAACGAGGGGATGCCCTACTTTATGGCTAGTAACTACCATCGCCCATAGATATTCGCAATATATGTTGTGGATGATTTGTTAACCTTGGTTATTGAGGAATAGGGAAAAGGTGGGAATAAGGAAATGACAGGGAAGGTTGGAAATAGGGAAAGAGCAACCGTCTCTCTCACTTATCGGACAAAACGCAGTCATTAAAAGCTAATTACTTAAGAGGGTGGTACTTCCTCAGCTAGGCTCTACCACCTTAAAATCTTAATCCCTATAATGCATTAGAATAAAATCATTTAATACAAAAGTTTTATAGAGTTTCTTAGTAATTGCATTCTTATAATAATTAATTGTGTTTCTATTTACAGGGAACATCAAACTCACTTCCACTGCACAAGAAAGGATTGCGGCTACTCATTCTGCGATAAGACAAGATTTGTTCAACACACAGCCAGACATGAACGGTATTTATATATTTATTATAATAGAATATAAAGTGAAGACATATATATATACTATATTTTACGCGCGAATTCGTCCGCTTTTATTTAAAAATTAGTGATATACATATGTATAGCTGAGCTATGTATAGCTGCTATTCCGTCCTAGAGGCCATAAATAACCAGATATTGGAATTTATTGTTTTTTTTTCCGGTTAAACATAATTAAATATCCTATGTCCGTCTCCGGGTTCTAAGCTATCTCCCCACCAATTTTCAACCATATCCTTACAGACATTCTTGAGTTATAAATAGTGTAACTAACACCTCTTTTATACATTAATATATAATATAATTTGTTATTATTTTCAGTCTGGACACTCTAATGGGTGGTGACTTCCAACAGTATCGAGCAAACGTTTACTGCCAGCGACCAGAGTGCCCACACGCCTCCACATTCGGTAAATATCATTGTATGTCGTTTTTAAACAATTTAATATATATCTATTACTAATTTTTAAGTTTTTTACACATTTTAATATCATATAAAGGATTTTGGAAATATTGAATTAATCTAACATTCACAAAATATACAAAAATATAAAAAAAGCATAATTTTGATATGTTTTTTATATACTATACTTATTTTCTTTCGTCATCATTAGTACACTCACCACTGTCGAGCAAAAACTTCTTCTCACATTTTGAAGGTTTTCCGACTGTTTTTCTATATATTGTAATATATTTTAGGTACGGGACAGAACAAAGCTTCTCATTTCCACTGTCTCAAGTGTGACTTCGTGTGTACTGACACTAACAAGGTCGTGGCTCATAGACGACAACATCAGAAACTTGACTCCATACAGGCCGCTGGCTTCCAGAAGTTTCCACCAAGCAAAGGTATTTAATATATAAATATATTTTGGTATTACAACGAATTGTTTAATATTTTTAAAACTAAATCTTGTCTTCTTGACCCAGTTGTTGCTAAGTAATCGAAACCTTGGAAGTATGTTGTTAAATATATTTAATAACACATACATAGTATATACATCCGAAAATATTAGTTTCATTAAAATTAATATTAAAGTATTAAATCTCAATAAATATTCATTCCTAACACATAATAATTTAATATGGTATTAAAATGGAAACTTTCCTCTATCCACTATTCGCAGACGATAAAATAACTTCAACAAATCGATATTTTCTCAATATATCGTTTAGTATATATATTCTACTTCATTCACAGTTTTTCAAATAAAAATAATTATCATATATTTGTTTAAAATCAACCTTTCACAGGTCATTAACCTCTATAACCTTTCTTCCCATACACATCAAAGGTCATTAACCTCTACAATAATTCTTCCAGCCTGCGGCTACGAGCCTCAGTGTATTCACAGTAAGAAGCAGACACACTACCACTGCCTCCAGTGCGGGTTCGCGGTCCTAGGTCTCTCACAGATGACGTCACACAAGTACAAACACCAGGAATCGAACCTAGGACCCTCAACCAGCGGTACTAACTGACCTATACTAATATCACACCCTGTATACTATATAGTGTTAGATATAAAATATATATCCAACGGTCCAAATAATTTATTTTTAATATTTAACTTGTGTGTGATCTAATTGTTCCCAGTGAGCCTATAATTGTCCTTGTCGTGCCTTACGCGAAATAGTTTCGGAAACTTTTAATAGATGGCGCCACATGCCGGTTATATGAACATTAACGAATTATATGTCTGTTAAGTGGATTGTATATAGATACATTTCTAAAATAGATTCGCTTCGCATTTTACAAAATACTATACGGTGATTCATATTTTAGGAATGTTTATTTCTAAGTGCATGTATGTGTGTATCCTGAAACCCGACCAATGTAGGCGATAGTTTATATAAAAAATATATTTATTACTTCCCCATTAAAAGACATTTTTACGAATAGTATTATTAATTTAGGTTTCGTAAAAAAAATTATCAATGGCAATAAGAAATTGGGTTTAGAACGCCATTTTGTGCCTCCGAGGTAAATTTATGACAATACATGGTGTTTTGAAATAGTTCACAATGAATTAATATATATTAACTAATAGCATTTTATTATATATATAATATTTTATAATAAAATTCTTATCAATAAAAAATACATACAAAGTTATTTATTACGACTTTTTGAATGTCCATTGATAACTATTTCAAACTAGATTTTACACGAAAAGTTATATAAAAAAAGTATTTAAAAAAACTGTCAATTTTATGAAAATGTAAATAAGATATATATGAAAAATAAAAATAAAAAATAAAAATAGAGATATGTTAATTGTTATCAAATATTGGTGAAGTGATCCAATACCGCGAAGTGGTTTGTTTTCGAGGTAGCCATAGAAAGCCATATTATATACAAGAAAAATACATTTTCAGATCAGTATTAGTTACAGTTCATCATGAACCTTTGCATTCCTGTTTTATTCCCGGCTACATTATTCCATTCCCGATAGTTTTAGACGAATTCCGACGAACTGTATACTCGTCGGATTCTATTTCATTTCGACGAGTTTTTTTCATTTTTGTTTCTCCGAATCCTAGCTTCTATCAGTATTTCTGTAGATTAAGCCCTCTCTTCACGTTCCTATATTAAACTAACCACAAATCTACCTTCATTTCGTTTTAAGGTAATAACATTTTGTCACTACTATTTTTTAAATGTAAACTATTTCTTTCATTTAATAAGAAAAGGCCGTGCCATAAATATTTAGTCATCTTTTCATTATTGATATACATTTTGTATTTATTTTCACTGATAATATACTTTTCATGTAATTATGTAAAACTTTCATTTAAATAAAAAGTCTTAATTTTATTTAATTTCGTCGGAAACTATTTCTGTTCAGTGAATGAATTTCAATTATTGGTTGTTATCTTGTTACGTTGTCTAATTTTACGTTCATGTTTATTTTTTTTTATGAATTTCTTTAACGTTGTCTCCTTTCACAAACTTTAATTACTCAAGTATTTATATAATCTAGTTTATATTTAGTTTAAATTATTATTAATTTAATTATTTTTTCCCTTATAAATACAGTATTCCCGTTCTTATGTAGTATGGATTGTTTAATTCTATATAAAGTTACTTAGTTCAAAGTAATTAGTGAAATTCATTTTTAACATGTAATCATTGAATGTACGAATTATTTAGGCACTTTTTATTTGAGATTAAAAAACGATTGGTATGACAGATAGATTAGTGTTGTTTACCTCATGAGTTTTAGTAATTAAATGAAAGTATATGAAATTTATTGTATTTTATTATACCCCAGAAATATATTCCTTGAAAACGAATATTTACTTTTTATTCCTATAATGTACTTAAATTTCTTTACGTCGTCATCAGCCTATCAGAGCCCACTGCTGAGCAAAGGCCTCTTCTCACAAGGAGAAGGTTTGAGCATTAATCACCACGCTTGCTCAAGACGGGTTGGTGATTTCAAACTTATAATTGTGAAACTATAAGTCCAGGTTTCCTTACGATGTTTTCCTTCACCGTCGGTCAGTGGTGTCTATATACTCTCAGAAAGTACATATGACTCCGAAAAATCACATTGGTACTTGCCAGGTTTGAACCCGCGCCCTCGGCAACGAGAGGTGGGCCCTTTAACCACTAGGCCACCACTGACTTTAAACTTCTTTACTTTAAATTGATTTCTATTAATTAATCAAACTTTTTTTAAAGAGTTAAATTAAGTAAAATATGGATTTAATCACATATCACATCTATGTATTTTACAGTCGATAACCACATCTATATAAAAATAGATTAGTTTTGAATAACAAGACGTGTTTTTTCTTTATTTCGAGCAATAATAAATTCTATACATACTATTATTAATAAGGGTGCTATTTATATAGACGTATACTTTAGCTACTAGAAATATGTAACAGATAACTCTGGATATCCAAAGAATTACAACAATTCAACAAAGCAAGAAAATCAGTTCAATGAATAGCTATTAAAACAAAATTCACCTGTACCAGAGTGGGACATTAAGAAATAAGGAAAAAATAATGAACAATATATACTCTCTAGTGGTTTGACACATCACCAGTCGTCAATTTATTGATTACTAGCTTCCGACCGCGGCTTCGCCCGCGTGGATATTTGATAAAAAGTTGCTTATGTTCTTTTTCAGATTTCAGACTATCCATATCCAATTTTGTAACAAACGGCTCAGCATATCTAGAGCATATTAGAAACAAACATTTACACAGCTATAGCAAATTTATTTGAATATTAAGGATTATAATACAGGAACGGTATAGATTTGGAGTTAATAAATTAAGCAGCTGTTAGTATATCCACTGTTAATAAAATAATCAACTGTTAATAAGTTAATCTACTGTTAAAAAAATTTATCAACTGATAGTAAGTTAATCCACTGTTAATAAATTAATTCACTGTTAATAAATTAATCAACTGTTAGTAAATCCTCTGTTAATAAATTAATCTACTGTTAATAAATTAATCAACTGTTAGTGAATCCACTGTTAATAAACTAATCCACTGTTAATAAATTAATCAACTGTTAGTAAATCCTCCGTTAATAAATTAATCCACTGTTAATAAATTAATCCACTGTTAATAAATTAATCCACTGTTAATAAATTAATCAACTGTTAGTAAATCCTCTGTTAGTAAATTAATCAACTGTTAGTAAATCCACTGTTAATAAACTAATCCACTGTTAATAAATTAATTCACTGTTAATAAATTAATCAACTGTTAGTAAATCCTCTGTTAATAAATTAATCTACTGTTAATAAATTAATCAACTGTTAATAAATCCACTGTTAATAAACTAATCCACTGTTAGTAAATCCTCTGTTAATAAATTAATCAACTGTTAGTAAATCCACTGTTAATAAATTAATTCACTGTTAATAAATTAATCAACTGTTAGTAAATCGTCTGTTAATAAATTAATCCACTGTTAATAAATAAATCTACTGTTAATAAATTAATCAACTGTTAGTAAATCCACTGTTAATAAACTAATCTACTGTTAATAAATTAATCAACTGTTAGTAAATCCTCTGTTAATAAATTAATCCACTGTTAATAACTTAATCAACTGTTAGTAAATCCACTGTTAATAAATTAATCAACTGTTAGTAAATCCACTGTTAATAAATTAATCCACTGTTAATAAATTAATCAACTGTTAGTAAATCCACTGTTAATAAACTAATCCACTGTTAATAAATTAATCCACTGTTAATAAATTAATCTACTGTTAATAAATTAATCAACTGTTAGTAAATCCTCTGTTAATAAATTAATCAACTGTTAGTAAATCCTCCGTTTATAAATTAATCCACTGTTAATAAATTAATCCACTGTTAATAAATTAATCCACTGTTAATAAATTATTCAACTGTTAGTAAATCCTCTGTTAATTAATTAATCCACTGTTAATAAATTAATCTACTGTTAATAAATTAATCAACTGTTAGTAAATCCACTGTTAATAAACTAATCTACTGTTAATAAATTAATCAACTGTTAGTAAATCCACTGTTAATAAACTAATCCACTGTTAGTAAATCCTCTGTTAATAAATTAATCCACTGTTAATAAATTAATTCACTGTTAATAAATTAATCAACTGTTAGTAAATTAATCCACTGTTAATCAACTGTTAGTAAATCCTCTGTTAATAAATTAATCAACTGTTAGTAAATCCTCCGTTAATAAATTAATCCACTGTTAATAAATTAATCCACTGTTAATAAATTAATCCACTGTTAATAAATTAATCAACTGTTAGTAAATCCACTGTTAATAAATTAATTCACTGTTAATAAATTAATCAACTGTTAATAAATCCTCTGTTAGTAAATTAATCAACTGTTAGTAAATCCACTGTTAATAAACTAATCCACTGTTAATAAATTAATCAACTGTTAGCAAATCCACTGTTAATAAATTAATTCACTGTTAATAAATTAATCAACTGTTAGTAAATCCTCTGTTAATAAATTAATCTACTGTTAATAAATTAATCAACTGTTAGTAAATCCAATGTTAATAAACTAATCCACTGTTAGTAAATCCTCTGTTAATAAATTAATCCACTGTTAATAAATTAATTCACTGTTAATAAATTAATCAACTGTTAGTAAATCGTCTGTTAATAAATTAATCCACTGTTAATAAATTAATCAACTGTTAGTAAATCCACTGTTAATAAACTAATCCACTGTTAGTAAATCCTCTGTTAATAAACTAATCTACTGTTAATAAATTAATCAACTGTTAGTAAATCCACTGTTAATAAATTAATCAACTGTTAGTAAATCCACTGTTAATGAACTAATCCACTGTTAATAAATTAATCCACTGTTAATAAATTAATCAACTGTTAATAAATCCTCTGTTAGTAAATTAATCAACTGTTAGTAAATCCACTGTTAATAAACTAATCCACTGTTAATAAATTAATCAACTGTTAGCAAATCCACTGTTAATA